ATTTGCAATTATGGAAGCGTGAAGCGTGAATAGTAAGTTTTTTAAAAAAGCTTTGAAAACCTATTCGATTAATAAAATAATCTTTTTAACAGTTTTATTACACATATGCAACGCAAGCACGACAAAACTATGACGGCAGATGAATTATATGTAATGTTCAAAGTAAATACTGGCCGAACTCCATACGTTAAGCCCGTCGACGACATAGAAACAGCGAAGAAAGCACATCCGGAATACTTTGAGAGTAATAAGTTATAAAAAATTTTAATTCCTAAAAGTTAAAGTGGATACATTCTTTGGATCGTTTACAGTCAACTGCTTATACATATAAATTAAACGGTTCGTTGTTTAAGTGTTAAACAAGTTATTTCAGCTGCCTGGGTGTTTGTTTTATGTGAGTCTAAAAACGAAACTTCCAATCATTTTCTAGCCTGCAATGCGGCCTTGTACAACTGTTCGTAGCAGATTATTGATGTGTAGAAGGGTTTGCTAATTTACGTACATGATGGAGGTAAAAACCACTCCGTTTCTCAGTATGCTGCGGAAGCCCTTTAAATTGCAGCTTCAGGCCCCCCTGAATTTTCATTGAAAATATCGTACCATTGATTTTCACACGATCGTTGAACACAACCAGGTAAGTACCATTGACCTTGTTCGGAGCCTCTTTAATTTCTTCTATAACAGCCAGTTGATCATTGATGAATACTATACCATCGCTTATCGGTGTATTTGGTGCTAGGTTATTAAATGTTGCGCTGCAACTAGTGGTAGGCTCTTGGCTCTGGGTTCCGGGTTACAGTGAAATCACTGGAAACTGCACGGTCGAGGAGCTGGACCGTGGGAATTTGATCAGCTCAGCGGGCGTTGGGCGAAGTTCTTGGCATGCAAGGTGGCAAAGTCCTTTTGGCCATGTGTAAACCTAGGGCGGTCCAGGAACCGCTTCAGTCTAAATGCTTAAACAGACTCCAGCGTAGCAGTTAATTCCGAGTTGATCCGGATCAACACTGCCGTCTGTTTATGCTTTAAGCCAGGAACACTTCTCGCTAGTGATGGGAGTTCTAACTGGTTGTTGTTGTTGTTGTTGTAGCGGCTACTAAGCCCCGTTCGCTAAGCTTCCACAGGGGCTGTCCATAGGGACAGAGGCGTCAGCTGAGTGGGGTTGCACCAGCTGCATGGAGAACGATGAGGTGGGATCCTGTTGCTGTTTTAACTGCATACAAACTCCCCAAAGAGGTTTTGGGGAGTGATGTTGGAGTAGGCTTGCCAACATTTTCTAAGAAATTTATCG